TATTTTAACGAACAATTATGCTCGGCGTTGTTCGACATTAATTACTATCATTTATGCAGATAATTTATAACTTGCCTGCACAAATTATAAAAATAATATCCTTGAGAATATTCTCATATTATTTTTCTACACATTTTATTTTTACCTTCGTTCTTTATTAAATATTTCAGCAAAAAGTAACGACGATCGTTGTTACCAAATCATATATAACATCAATTAATTATTAATAACAAATTAATTACTATCGAATTATGTTCGAAACTTGCGCTACTTGTCTATTAAACGATTACAATATTAAAGGGAGTCTCACTGTAACAGAATCCCAAGAAATCTGGACCTAAAAATTTCGCAGAGTTGACATAAAACCTTCTGCGAATTTTGCGATTTTATATTATACGAACATGATATGACAGGAAATCTATTGTCGACACAGTTCCAAAAGAGACATTATTTCCAAGAATTTCGTAGACAATACTTCTGCAGTTTCCAGGATAAATTTTTGGCGAATTTTGCGATTTTATAGCATAACATAATAGGAGGACCATTTCCGAGATGATAAATGATATCACTCTCAAAGAATTCTTTCGAGACAAATTTCTCTGCGGTGTATATGGATTATAGTATACATATTCTAATCATGCAAGAGATTTTAATTATTGTACATACCTTACTTATCATATTTCCCTTTCTTACCTTAATTCGTCTTAATTTTACATTTTAGTACATGAGATACTAATCACTATAATATCTTATTAATATCTTATTATTAATCTTATTATTAACTTATTACCGACTTAGACATAGACTATGATTAAATTATAACTAATTAATGACTATTTTATAACAAATTTATAACTAACTTATGACTGTCTTATCGCTAGATTATGACTAATATTTCAACTTTGATGCGTAGCTCTTAGCTTGGTATCGTTTCCCAAAAATTATTTTTTGGAAAACGATACCAATTACCAGGTCTCACCACGTGGAGGTGACTACTCATCGAGACCTGGACATGCACTCTAATGGTGCAACCTACTGATGCTATCCGTATCGAAGGTAGCCTAATCTAATTTGGAGCGAAAGAAGTTAAAGTGACTCTACTGACACTTTATCTTATTTCGTGTCGTACAAAAGGAATTTCGATTCGGTACACTAAAACTCTACTGTCGTAATGCTAAGATATTGTTTTACAATAGACTTTAATATTTCAAAGTTCCCATACAAATAGGGAACGAAATATCAAAGACGCGAGCAAGTAGAAAATCGCGACGCGCCCGAACGAGGCCGCGATTATTCGAAAGACCGACTAGCCTACGAGACGTACTCTCGTGTACAGGATAACTCCATGCCTCGGCACCCTCCCGATCGAACCTAGCCCACCCAGCCACCACACACCTCGCCATGACTTACTCGTGAACTAGAGTGATCGACGAACCAGCGAAACACCCAAAATCAACCCGAGGGTCCCTAGCGAGGCCCTATAGCCGGAACAGACACTCCGTGCCCCTGCCCCAAGGGGTAGAACTTAATCATCCCAAGTGGTCTGACCGTAGACACGTCATGCCCGTCCGGCTACAGGACCCATACCCCGGTCGTGTACGACTAGGGCCGACAGACCCTCGTATTGATTCCAGGTGAGTGCCAGCCCGTCGACCACTCTAGAACCGATGCGTGACAGGGTGGCAATGGTCGGAATGAGTGTCGGAACGAATCGTTTGGATGACTTACGAAACATGGAGTTATCGAGTACACGAGAGTACGTCGCGCAGGCTAGTCGGTACTTAAGAACGATCGCGATTATCGCGAGAATAATTATGTTCTATTTGGTAAACGAGAGGGATAAAAAGAAGATAGAGAATTGATATATTTCGCTCCAAGCTAGGTAGCTTACCTTTGTACGAATAGCGCGCACATGGTACTTAGTCTAGGTATCTATCTTACTACTTACGTCTACTTAGATCTAACGCACGCAACCCGCGTCGTTCATTGATGTGTCCCAAATGAAATCTTGAAGAAACTTGGGAATCTTGAGAAACCTAAAAGCTAAAACAGAATATATTATTATTAATATAAACCTGAAAGGAAACGGATTAGTACGAGAAAGGAAAACAAACGAACAGAAACCATAAAGGTTAACCAAGTGGAAGGAGCAAGTCACCGATGAGACATAGACAAACCAACGACGAAACATTTGAATATTATACGAAATGTTCGAATGTTCGAATGAAGATGAATAGAAACGAGAAAATAAAATGTGAAAAGAGAAAAATAATTAAAACCTGAAAGAAAATAAATTAGACCTGAAATATAAAAATTATTAACAATCCAACGATAAGACATAAAGAACCCAACTACGAGACAATCAACCTAACGATGAGACATTCGAATATTATACGAAATATTCGAATATCCAAATATAAATGAATATAAACGAAAAGTAATAACTGAAATAAAAAAAAGGACTTAAAACCTGAAAAAATAAAAAAATAATTAATATCTGAAATAAAAGAAAAATTAATATCTGAAAACAAAAATAGAAGTGATTAATAAATTGTTTAATGGGGTGAGGTGAGGGTGGGATAGCCATCCCCAACCTCACTCCGGACCCCCACCCCTCGCGCACTATGGTAATTAGATGTTACACTTCGGAAATCGAACTGACAAATGAGTTTCCGAGCGTCGCGCCGCCCTTTATATAGTCTCCGATCGGTCGAGCTTCCCATCCCAATTAGAAATTTTTGAACTTCGTCGATTTTATTAATTATTAATTTTCCGCTCTTATAATCAATAATTTATCAATTTTTTCACTTTTATTATAAATTTACGTTGCAAACAATTTGTTATTAATAATATTAATTTGTTATTAACAATAGGTGTAATTGTTTATAAACTTTTTTGGTAATTATAGATATATTTTAACACAAATACATTTTTAATTCGAGTAATAACCAGTAATTTATTCATTTTTTCACTTTTATTACAAATTTACGCTGCGTGCAATTAATTATTAACAATTTTAATTTCTTACTAACAATGAGTGTAATAATCTATAAACTTTTTGTAAATTATACGTATATTTTAAAATAAGCACGTTTCAAGTTCAAGTAATATTCCGTAATTTATCAATTTTTTCACTTTTATTGTAAATTTACATTGCGAACAATTTATTATTAATAATAAATTTGATAATTTATGCATTTTTTATAAACTATAATTGCATTTGCACTTCCATAGGGATAAATTTTCATAATGTGTATCTGTATGCCAAAATATTTTTATTTCCCGTGTATTTTTCCCTAAAACGAAGTATTGCACGTAGAATAAATACGTAGGAAGATTCATTTTTATCTTAAAGAGTAGGTGGGAATTTATTTTTTAAAATTTTATATGAAGAAGTCACTCATGTTTATGCATCGGATCATGAAACCGTTTCAAATTACATGTGATTTAGAGAAATTTCTTATAATTTTTCGATTAGTGTAAGAAGATACATCTTATACATATATAAAGTGAGACTGAAGTCATACTGAAGTCATACTGAATGATGACTTTGATGTTGATTACGCATAACTACGGCCCTGATGAAGCGAGATGTGCGAACAATAGCTGCGTGGCAGTAAAATCTCGCTTACAGGTTTCTGATATATATTTTACCATCCTGTTAACATTGAACGTCATCCTAATATTGTTTCTGGGTGGTTTCTTCTTCAGAAAAGCAAACTGTACAAGAATCATCTAATTACTGATCAGAGGAAAAGTAAAAATTTGTTGATGTTGGTAAACGTTTGTAGTAGCCGAATTTCTGGCTTTGATTATATAATAGTATATATTATCGAGTTATTAATATACCAGATTTTTTTGCGAATTAATCCATTTTACTCCAATTTTATTTATTGGTGTTAAAAATTGCATTAAAAGGGATAATACTATTCATTTATAAAATATGATTTTTTTATTTACTATTGCTCTTACTATAATTTTATAAATACAGATCACTGTGTGCTCGTCTGGAAAACGTCTATTAAACGTAAGTTACAGGCAGCGAGGGAGTTCTTAATAACTGCTGCACTGAATTCTCAATGGCAATTATGAAGTACTTCGCAATCACTGATAATATGTCTTTTTAAGCATGTCGTATGACGTACTATGAAATAGAAATATTTGGCTGGAGTATTTAGTAACATACATTATACCGTTTCACCAAATGGTCAACTAGGACCATGAATGAATGATTGCATTGTATCGAATATCATCGATTACGAATTTGTGGAATAAATGAAAACTAGTTTTTATCTTTTGTCAGTACACATAACGGCAACCAATTGCGTTACAACTGATAAAAATTATCGGGTAGTCACTGATGCTGACAATTGCGTGACTCATTCGAAGCCCAGATAATCAGTTCTTTTAATTTTCCTATAAGGGACATGAGAGAAGACGAGTACAATATTCAAAATTATACGATTCATTTGCTTAATAGATGAATATACATATTGAAAATACTAATGCAAATGTGTCTTTTATAATTTTGCAATTCTTCTCATTGTAGATCTTTTAATTTCTAAAATCCATATTCGATATTAACTGTTATTTTTCTTTCCTCTAATTTTTGTACATTTGTTTTCTTCTTAAAAGATATTTTCTGCTACAAGAGATAAAATACCTTTGAATATTTGTTTTCTACCTGGTAAATATACGAATATAGTTCACTTGGAGAATCGTATCTTGCACGATTTGAAAGCCTATCAAATATCAAACACGATGGAGAGATATACATTCTGTTTTAATACCGTTTAAGTACTTAATAACAGAACTGTAATGTGAAATTAAGGTTTCAGAGGGACCGCATTTATATCCTGACCAGATTTGCTCGTCGTTCAGTGTTGTCCACCTGCATGTACGGACTGTGAATTGGCATGGTGGGGATAGAGAGACGGAAAAGGAGTGGGGATGTATCGTGCGGCAGTAGCGCGCGTCTCGCGTAGGTTTAGGAGCAGAATATTAGTGCGGACGCGCGAGTAATATCGAAGTGTCGAAGAGAAATTGTTCTAGTCTCTTTATCTTATCGTGGCTGATCCTATCATCGTGTAAATACAGAAAAAAGCACTTTTATTATTCGACTTTAGCAGTACGAATAGTTTTCGCTGGAAATTAAGACGAGAACAATCGACGGAGATGTCAAAGAATGCGAAGAGAAAGGAGAGAAGCTCGATCGTGAAGTGTGAGATTCACGTGTGTGTGCTGACTCGTGCGTGAGAGCGCTGTTCGTGTGCACCTCTAAACTATTTGGTGTCAGTGTGCGTGTCGTGAGTATACAGCAGTGTATACCTTTTTAAAGGTGGAAAGAGAAGAGACGAGGAGAGAGATCATGACAATGGCAACGACCAACGGCCAAGTGGGTCTCTGACCCCACTGGACAATAAAAAGATTCGTGTTTAAATAGTATTCTATGTGCGAGGTTAAAGTGCGACGCCACGCGAGAAACACTCGAATCGTCGTGGAATCGTTGCGCGAACTTGGCTTGGTGTTTCAAGGTATGTGCCTGTTATTTCTCTATACCATGCCTTTCTTTCCACGACACTCGAGAATCAACAAGTAGCTTCGGTTTGCTATAGAAAAGTCAGTTCGATGTGGTGCGTTTGAAATCTTGTGAATAACATGACAAACATTGCGAAACGTTAACTTTCCGATGTAATAGAGATTTTATACGGATCAACATGGTAACCTTGCAATGTAAAAAATACATATTTTTATTGTATACGTAAAAACAAATAGATAATGTGATTCAAACAGAAAATGTGAGATATTAAACAAACTTATATGTAGATACTACACACGGGAATATTACTCATAACATAAATAGCATTATTTTTTTAATGTGGTTACGTGAGCAACGAAGTTTGAGTATACAAAACGTTGGAGCCCATTGACGTTTTGGCAAATATTTGCCTTTCGAACGAACACTTGCCAAGTATATAACCCGGTTGATAGGAGTAATTGGAGCATCTTTATTATTGACTGTTAGCGTTACATGTATTTCTACATGTTATATACTGAGTCACACAATGTATCGACGATATTATCAAGATCAAACAATATCAAATACATTCGATCAACATAATATTTTAATAAAAGAAACCGAATATTCTTTTATTTATATATATTTGTTTTTTTTTTCGTTTTACTTAATAGAGGTGACAAATAGACAAATTTTTTGCAACAATAAATTTTTGTTGCGTTCAATCTGTAATCTCACGGTTCACTCTAATAATACCGTTAGGTTAACAATGAGAATTCTATTATGAAAGTGGAACGCACAAATGTCGGAAAACTCGCTGTTTTCTAAAGCCGATTAAAGCCAGAATTGAATGTACTTCTCTGATAGTGTCAGTGTTAGCGCAGAAGTCCTGACTTATTAACATTTGTGGTAGGAAATTGTAGGCGTTTAGGGAATAATGAAGAATACTTATCATTTGCAGCGGAGATATCAGTTAATTTTAGAAACTCTGATGGATCTGTTACCACGACTTTGCCATGATTCACGTTCCGTTCTCGGCTGAGCAGAAGGAACAACGAACCGCTTTCCTTTGTCTGACAACGAGGAACATGGGAATTTAGATCGAGCCTGTAGATTCCTGGATCGGAACTGAAAAAGCATGGAAACGTGACGTAGATGCTGGTTAGTGCAAAACCGGAAACTCAGTGCGTTCGGTATCGGATTTCGAAGCGGTGACTCACTACTGTGTTTAATTGTCGCGTTAACATAGAGTTTTGTACTGTTTTTCTTAGTGCTCTGGCTGATGGTCACATGACTAGAATGCGGCGATTCAAACGCTCCAGAGTTTCCTATGAGTGTCGTTTTCGCGGGAATTAGAAATTTTTAGTTTTTTGTAATTTTATGTATTTATGTTGCATGACACATTGTTTGTTTTAAATGTCTGTCATTTATTAACATTTTAAGTGGTGATTATTTGGTGATATTAACGTTCATTATAAAATAAACATGCCAAGAAAAACATATGGCACCCTAACCTAAATCTTTAATACCAGATAGATGCGTTACGAAGTATACATATTAACTTGATTAACTTTTGATAGTATTAGACAGGTAAAGCGAAGTATACCTCGAGATTTACAATTATATCTGAAGCACTAAATATGAAATTATGTTTTTAATAACATATCTTCATTTCCAGATTAACACATATTGTGTTACATGTGAGATACACGAATGAACGTTTCACGTTTCAAACAAATTAATTCAAACATTTTCTATATATCTTATAGAAATTAAACATTTTTTAAAAACAATAAAATTATTCGAGGAAGATAATTGTAAAACAATAGTTTACAAACCATGGCACTGCAAATCGACTTAGTTACAATTAACATGAAATTTAATTAGGTGAAAATTATCAAACTCCAGAAGAGATATTCACGAAGATGATAATCAAGAGCAATCGAAATTATAAAACATGATTTATTCCATCTGCTCATTGCTAATCACGTGACTCGGAAGCGGTGATTCAACCGTTCAGAAGTGCTTCGCGCTGAGCTGTCTTTATTATCTAAGTAACTATCGTTGGTAGAATGTACGAAGCAAATGTTGATAGTTCTTCGAGTCAGTGTTCAACGCCACATCGGGATCTCGAAAATGAGGAATCATCTTCAGATATTGCGACGTATGATCAATTGATATACTTTCATTTTTCTAAATATTCGCTTGGTAACTTATCTCAAAGCTTTAAATAATTATGTACGAATCTTTGATGCAGCATATGAATCACACAAACCGCTCGATTTTTATTTTTTGTTATGTTCATGTTTTAATTATCTATTAACAACTTTTTATTAACTATCAACAGTTTGTTTTTAACCCGACTGCATGAAAAACAAGTTCTTCAATGGATACGACCATTTACATTTGAATTTGCAGTTTAATTATGCAACGTGGGAACAGGTGCCAACAGACTTACACATGCGTGTTGCAAGATCAGAAATCAGTTCTATTTGCTTGATAAGTTCAGTATACTTTCACTGCTTTTTAATAGTACAACGAACTTTTCATTATTTCAAATTTATGCATCTGTATATCACTATCAGTTAATTTGAATTTATTGTTTCAGTAACTTGAATTCGAATTGTATATTAAATGAAAATCCGTTGTAATCGCAATTCTTTTTTTCTTCTGAAGAAATGCATAAATGTGTGCAATTTATTGGTTTATTGTCATTGTCACTACACGTTCAAAGTTATAACCTTCGCATCAAATCGATTAATGTTATTTGAATGTGGATGGTTGCGAGGTATAAAAAGCGACGAATTAAAAAGAGGCTGACTTACAGCAGTTTGGCACTCTACTCTTTCTCACCGCATGTGGCTTGTTTTACGTCTCAAATTGCACTGGACGCTATACTATCAAGTCCCTTGGCATAAGTTGACGTGATGACATCCGAATAACCGGTGCAGTTACAACACAGGGCAATTGAATTAGTTCCAAAATCACTGTGTTTTTTCTTTCATTCAAGATCAAACACACCAGCGAACTTTTTATATCAATCCTACCATATTTATCGTATATCTTGATATAAGATTTTCTTTTTAAATACAATATTGCCCAATTATGTAATTGGGCCAGATTGAAACGAAACACAAGCCAAAAGAAACCATCGAGCTAGAAGATCACCGCGTTATAGTTGAATCGAAACAATGATGTCGAGCCACGTTGCTTTTATTGCACGAAGCCGATCGTATTTAATTATTCAAAATTATCGCATTGCATTATTCGAGCCTAATCGTACGAATACATACTTATCAAATAAACGATAAAACACTTTTGAATTCGAACATGTCACAGAATACTTGATCATTCAGATCGAAAAGAATTCAAAAGTTTCATGCCATGATAAATTATTTAATCGCTTCGCAATTCATAGTAACAATAACATTAAAACGATTTCAAAGCACACGTGTAAAGATCTGAAAATATTGTTAAGGGGACCGAAGCATGTGGCGCAGCTTCTACGTTCCTGGATCCTTCGGTTAAAAACGAGTGGCGAGGCAGAAAAATTCCCATTCGAGATGGAGGAGAAACCGATACCGAAACCTAGATCGGTGATGACGGAGCGACCGGTACCAGCACCGAGGAGGCTGCCACCATCGTTGCCAGCAGCTCGATTTAGTAGCCACAGCGATTCCAGTCAATCGGAGAAAAGCGACGACGCGAAGTCGATATCGGATACAAGAAGCTCCAACAATGAATTTTTCCGCAATCTGAGCAGTAGTTCCCGACAGTTGAAGGACGAGATTTCGGAGAAGATGACTCTGAAAAGTCGTGCGGTAATTTCAAGCACGAGGAATGCTAGTATTAGGTTGGAAAAATCGGTAAAAAACCTTTTAACACGACGATTAACCTCGTTAAATCAGGATGATCTTCTTCGAGATAATTCAGCCGGCAACAAGAAGTTCAAAGATCCTGTAGAGGATGAAAGATGCGTCTCGATGCCGGCTGATGATATTTTCAGCAGCATTTCGTTCTACAGTCCCCTGAACAGTAATCTGAGAAGCGTTCGAAATGAGGAGGATCTTTCCGGGACGCGTCACAGTCCACCACCTCCTGCATATCCTCCTCCACATCCTGACGAGTCTATCTACGACGAACTGCAGTCCGTCACGTCGGGCAGCAGTCGATATGACACGATCAGCTCGACCATCTCTGACAAAGTCGACAGGGACTTCCCCGAATCGTTTGATCTCCTCAATTTCGCACTTAATCAGGTAAAAATATCGTTTGAAATATTATTTGACTTTTTGGCAACTGTTTTTACGTTGAAACTAAAAATAATCATTCCGATTGTTCATAGATAACAAAATACTATCTTATTTTTTGCTTCCTCCGTTTCACTTTTCTCTGCATTCTTTATGGACCTTGTAAATACTTAAGAGACAGATCTCAGGAAAATTTGTGGGCGAGAAAAATATTTTGAAAGATTAAATATTTGCTACTGGTACGTTTTGGAATTTAAGATAAAATGACCTTGAATAAGTCAGGTTTAAAGATAGACACACTTGAAAACATATTTGACAGGTTTTATTAAGGCTATTATAGGGCATAACTTTTATAATGCCTGAGATCATTAACTTTGTTCTCCCTACTGTCAATTATTAACGCGTGACCGTCAGTCAGTCACTTATCGTCCATTTAGTTTCTACACTTCGGTTAGTTGAAATATTTGATTTTTATTAAACGAATGTAACTATTCATTGTTTCCTTTCGTGTTCTTTTTATATTATTATAATGAACTATATAAGTGAAATACATATCGGTATATCTAATTGCTATTCTATTCTTTTAGTAACTGTTCGTATTTTTCTCATTTCTGAATAAGACATAAAAGGATTGATCAAAAGATTATCATTATAATAAGAAAGACAGAAAAGCAATCATAATAAAATATAGATAAAGTTATGATTAAAAGATTTCTACTCTTTCTTATTAGGCCAGTGATTCGGATCAGAGTTTGAACCTCTCCGACATTAGCGTGGCTCTACCGCAAGACAAATCGGATAATATCAAGAGATTATACAGGTCTGACTCCTGGACTTTCTACGATACTGCACCAGTGAGTAAATCCGAAAGAATCGAAGAGCTGGACAGGGTGTCTAGCGCAGAAGAGGATATCCTGGACAAAGAGGCACCTCATCTCGATCAAACGTCAACTGCATCCAATGACAGTCAGGCATCCATTCAAAATTCCTTGTATGAAAATCTGTCGTCGCAGAAAACACAGGAGGAGAAAGAAACAATGTGCAATAATACAGAGAATAGGCAACAGAGCAGTAGATCTTTGTTATTCGAATTTGATCCATTCGCGAAGACTGACGAGAACGTGTATAGCAACTTTGAAAATAATGATCTGATGTTGTTGGAAACTTTATTGGCAACCAACGATTCACCGAGCAGCTCTGGTAGCATCCTCGACTTCCAAGAAGCAGTTGATAACGAGGAAGAGATTGACGTGGATGAAGATGATGTGGAGCAAATTTCATCGGTTCCACCGGAACCACCAAGAAGATTTGACTCATTGCCGAAGAATGAATACGATGAAGTCACTGAAATTGTCCCACAACCGGATAAAAACGCTACGGGGAAAAATCCAGCTTTGCTACCGAAATTAGCGCACTTAGTGACACGAAAACAACCTGCTGTTCCGCCTAGGAAATCAACGGCAAAGAGTCGTGTGAATGAGGAGCCAGCTTCTCCTACTACAACGTCCAAAACTGGGACTACAACGAGTAAAGGTAATCCAGGTAATTATAGTTTTTATATCAAGCTTTCAGGTATCCATTAACTTTGTCATGAGTATTTAATATTGCTACAAGTATCATTATAATATATCATTTTTGTTGTGATATGCAAGAATGAATATGAATGACGAGTTCATAGACTCTTCACTGTCAGTGTTAATTTATTCTAATTCATACAGAGCAGGAAAAATAAAAATGAATGCAAAAGTGGAATAAAATGGCAAATAAGGAAGTGTACGATACCGTTCCAGAGTTTCCAATTCCTGCCTTACTTTTGTTCATTTTTTTGAATAGCTAATAACTGAAACATAATTTTCTCACATACGCGTGTTTCTTGGAAGATCTCAAGATTAAAATAATCTTTACTGAACAACTTTAAGTAAAGTAAATATTCATGTGAATTTCTTGATGGATATCTCAATATACTTCATCTTTTACTTAATATGGAATTTTATCGGCCGGGAATGTTGTATATCCTATTTTCACTCTACAGCATTGCTCCAATGATGCATAGTACAGAAAGGCCATATCGTCAATTAAGTATAACTTGAATTAATGTTAAGAGTTTAACCCTTTAAACCTGACAGCATTTGAAGCATTCCCACGCTACATTAAAAGTTAAAATTTAAATATACCGATAATTTGTTTCACAAATAATCGATAATTTAAGAGCAATTGCAATTACAATATCAATTTCCACTATTTATAGAATGCTTTTTATAGTGCATATTTAGCCAGGATAATTAAACTGGTAATTAAATAATACCAGAATTTATATAAAAAATGTATAAATTTCATATAATATAGTACATTTTATTAAGCTCGTTCAGCTCTATAAATCCGTTATTTTTAATGTATGAAAAACTGTGAAAGCAAATGTTATTTACTTTCGTATGAAGCTACTGTACAGAAAAAATTTTGCTTTCACAGTCGTTCTTCAAAATGTTCCAAGTCATGAGCAGTTTCTTTATAACAACGATATATTCTTATCGTATCATGTTTTGGCTTCAAATTATTACACTGCACATAATGATATTAATTTACGGAGTAACAAACAAAATTCGTCAAATTTTCAATTATATATCAACGTTGTCATAATAAGCATATTTTATGTAACTTATTGAAAAATAAATATTTTATATGTTTCAGCCACGACTGCGACGAGCACCACTGCGCCAGCCAATGCCGATGAATCTTCGAGTCCTTCAAGCGGTAAGGCCACAGAGGAGCACAGACACGTGGGCGTGATACAGAGATTAAAAAAATTGAGGCACGAGTCCGCAGGGCATGGGATCAGGCCGAACGTGATGAGTTTTGTGAAAAGTGGCAGTAAATTGTTGTCCAGAAATCGTGACCACGGAGGCGCTGTGCCAAGCACGAAATCAACGAAACTGGAAAGGCCAAGGGTGAATAATCTGCAAAATCCTGCGACGCATCGGGGAATCGTTTATAGGACTGGTGTAGGCATAGAAAGGGCAAAGGACCTCGTGCCGAGGGCAGCGGTCTTGGCCGAGCAGAAGCTCTCGTTTTATACTGATAAGGGCATGTCTACTCTAAAGGAGATCGTTCACCTCAACACAGTGTACAGCATTCATCTCCTCCAGGACTTTAAGTGAGTCCGCTTTTTCGTCGGATAAAAGAACGCGTCATCAGATAACGATACTCGATGGAAGCGAATCTCGTCTTCACGAGACCAAGATACGTGAAGTAACGTGGTCAAACTCTGAGGAATATTTACATCTTTGATTATCCGATGTATCCAGTTATACGTTCAGGACATTAAAGTGTTTTCGTTTCGACTTGTCCTGGTTCTACATTAATATCAAATCTAAGGCTTTCTTTGATTGTTCAATGAAAATTACACTTTTGATAAATATCGTTCCATTTTTATGTGAAATTAAGTAGTTCTGAATTTGAAGAAAAATAGTCCCATTAGGAGATAATGAAAGAAGAAAGTTCAATTTACATATAGGGAAATTAAATACTGAATCAACGAGAAAATAACAGAGGTAATTTAAAATGTTCAGGATAGTTGATGGAGAAACCGTACATTGCATAGCAATTAGCGGGGAAGGAAGACCAAGCGTTCATGTGTTCTACGCGAAGGGTATAGCAGAACGAAGAATCTGGGCTCAAAGAATACTAGAGGCCATTACTACCATTTTTCCCACGAAATACACGGCTGAACTGACGAGAGTAGGATGGGCCTACTTGAAGGTACCAAAAATGGGCAATAGTATAAATCGATTTTAAATTACTGAAATTTTACTTAATTTTTTAAACTTATATTTTTGGTATAATATATTAAATAAATTTGTTTAGAAATTTATTTCATTATTTTTTTTTCATATTTATTGAGGAGATAGTATGTATATTAAGAGTTTTTGTTCAATTTGCGTTGACTGGGACTATCTTTGGAGAAAACCACTTTCTAGTAATCAAACATGTACATATATGTGAAATATAACGAGTGTCTCATAATTAGTAATATCGTTGAAGACTATTATAAAAATGCAATTATATTTAATGAATAAATAAATAATAATATATATATTCGATAAATAAGTAACAATATATTAAGGGGTTCTCTCATTATGTTTTAAAATTCAAAATACGTTGCCTTTGCGAAACTAACATGGAGTGAATTACATATTAATTAACATTAGTTGAAACATGTTCCAGGAAGGCGTAACGGGCACGTGGTTTCCGGCTTGGGTTCTCTTACACCAACGAACGTTAATTTACACGAAATCTCTCGATTCCTTTATGGCCATAAGTTTTGGAGAACTTGATCTTCGGAAAGCTCGATGTATCGGTAAGTTCTGTTTATATAAAAATTATTTAATTAGCGTAATCATGGGTCGAATTTATATCCTTATTTTACATTTATTACAAAAACCAGTTTGTCATCTACATTTTCGTACTTTCTAAACTAATAACATGTTTTGACCTTGACAAGTGCGTCACCAGACAGTGCAAAGATTTACAACCGAAACAATCTCCTTGCCTGCTGTACTAATATCATGACGAGTCATTTCATTAATTTAGCGCGATAAATAGAATGATCAACTTATTTGCACGTTGAAAAGGCAAATAACAAAAGGTGATTCACGAAATTTATTCTCTTAACTTTACAGCCTGATTTACATTTTTGTAATTGTTTATAAAATTAAGTTTTTTATCCACTATTAATTATTAGGTACAATGATAAAGAAAACAACGCAAATTATCGTTGACACACTTGTTCACTGTATTAATTAAGAGAAAACAATTTTTTATCTACAACGAAATTTGTCGTAATCGACGTACGACCTACTAACACAGTGGAACGGTTATAAAAATGCAGCAATTACGACGAGCATATCGGTTTGAATGCATAAACGATTTTCTGCAGGCTATTTCTATACGCCGGTCTCATAATAGGCACAGCACGATCGCACATTATTAAGTGCTTATTGAAACTTTTTAGGGATAATTTTCATCAATGAATTACAAAGCTAATTTATTTATAAATCGCGGTACAATGATGCTTTTGTTTATTTACACGCTCTGTTACAGTTTTACGAGAACAAGAGGGACCGAATGCTGATGCCGGACCAATTCCAGTGGTGGTCGTTGACGCAGGTGGTAGCGGAGCATTACACGTGGCTGCACCAGGAACTCACGAAGGATCTGCATGGAGACACGCACTTTATCAAGCGGCTATTACCTGTGGTCCTGCTTTAGAGCAACAACAACTCACGCAGGATAATGTGCCCGTGATTCTCGACAAGTGTATTAACTTCATTTATGTTCATGGTAAAAATATAGCACAGTGGAATTATTTACAATACAATATTTGGTATAATTCGTACCAAAGCAGAATCTTTGAATCTGAAGCTGAAGATTAAGATTTCTTTATTTCAAAATAATATTTCTTTAAGAAATACCTTTTTTAGAAAAATATAAATCTTTTTTACCGTCTTTTGTCTTTTAATATTTTGTATAATGTGTATTTTTACCTATAGTTTATATGCTAAATATTATGGTATATAATACTAAATTAATGATATTGAAACGTTGTTTAAGGTATCATGTCGGAGGGCATTTACCGTCAAAATGGGTCCAATAAAAGTGTGGTTAAATTATTAAAGGCGTTTCGTCGCGACGCATGGGCGACGCAAATTACAAGAAGTGCATACACAGAACACGATGTTGCTACGGTTCTCAGAAGGTTTCTCCGTGATTTACCGAATCCATTGTTTCCTCCTAACATTCACGATCGCCTTTGTTTTACTTCAGGTAAGGAGTACTCATTGTCCTTGACTGTTTGACTTTCTTAAATGAACGTTTTGACAATGAAACTACATAAGCCTAAGAAATATGAAACGCGGAAAAATTAAATCATGTGAAAGATTAAAAAATAGGTAACATTTAAACATACAAATAATATTCATTTATATATTATTTAAATTGATCAGTGAATTTTTCTTTTTACTAAACAAACACGGTTAAATTAGAAATAGGATTAAATTATATAAATTAATGAAAAGGAAAGAAAATATTATTTTAATCTGACCCAATGAATTTTCGTCATAATATGTATGTTGAATACCAAGTGGTAACGTTTTGCAATAGGCAAACAATATTTTGTAACACTGGTTCTACTTTCTACTCTTTCTCACGATCCAGTGCAAGCAGAAAAGTACTTTGACCTGAAATACCAATCTGTCTGTAAAGCAAATTTTTTTGTTATAAAGAAAGGATAGAAATTAGGATGAAAGAAACGGCTATTCAAATTATATTCAAAACTATACATTGTATTTTAAAAAAAAGTGATATATTCAAAACTTTATTCTAAGGATTTGTTCGATTGTGAAAATAAGCAAAACGTCTTTTCAAAGAGCTGAATATGGAAATAAATTGCTCCTTGCCCCCGACCGTCGTTTGCATACTTAATTATAAAAGAAATACCAAGCTGGTTTGCACCCACGCGTACTTTCACACATTATAGCTGATTTTAATAGGAACCATAATCTTGAATTTCCGGAATCATTTAATATACATATTATTGACAATTTTAATGAACATATCGAGCAAAATGCATTTTCATTTATTTCATTTTTAATAGATTTCCAGTAACAAAAATAAATAATCGATTATACATTACGTATTAAGATTTTTAGAATATTTCAAGAATTTTAAATTGAAAAATTACAATCTTACCTAAGAATGACTAAATAATATTTATTTATATTTTGAAAGTTTTTGTTAAACAATAAGAAGTTAACATTGTTGCGTTTTCCTGTTTAGACCAGCGTTTTTTTCAAAGTGCTTTTATTACCAGCAATAATTAATGGTTCCTGTTTCATTGTCCTGTGTCACTTGCTCAAAAAGATATTGTGTATTTTAATAGATTAATGGAACGAACGTTGAACTCAAGTATGTACTCGAATTTCTGCAACTGCTGGTTTTGGTTTATTACATTGTGAAACATCGCGTGAGAATCGCATAGAGGCAGGTCGATGAATCATGGCTTCTCATAACGGGCCTTCAGACTCCTTAGTGAAAGCAAGGCATGCCTTTGTGATAAAAACTGCATACGATTATTGTTAGTTACTACTAATGATAACGAATAGTAAAAGCAAAGAGTATTTTATAATCAATAGGAATTTATAATTGAAAAGATTAATCTCACTTTTTTATTTCCTGATATATTCGTACTTTAGTAGCTAATTTAGTAGTTCTGAGTATAATCAATTAATAAAATAATTATATAAAATGCTGATGAATAAAATAAGCAAGTTAATCTATAACAAATTAAATTCAACACAAGAAAAGATATTGTTACCACTTATATATATGTATATTTTGTTTTTTAGGAAACGTTAATGAAAACGAACGAGTTACTGCATATAGAAAGCTATTATCGACGCTAACTCCAATATCGGCGGCGACGCTTAGGAGGATTCTTGCTCACCTTCACTGTTTGAGTCAGCAGAGCTCCCGTAATCTAATGACCGGCGAAAATCTTTCCGCGATCTGGGGACCAACTTTGATGCATGCTGGCGAAAGTAACGCAGAGGAATGGAACAGATCTGAGACTAGGGTAATTGGTGACCTGATCAAGCTATATCCGAAACTATATCAGTTAACTGCCGCGGATTTAGCGAAAGAGGCAAAAATTTTGGAAGTCCTCGAAAAGCATCATGGTTCAAATAATGGTTTGCGTGGAGCACCATCTGGTGATCTGAAGATTTGGATATATATTTTCTCAAGGAATGGGGAGTGCGTCAATGTGACGGTAAGAATTCTTTTCGATTATACTAGTCATAATTTATAGTTTTATACAAAAGAAATATAGTTCCAAATAAAAAATCTTCGTTTCAATGTATATTGTAAATGTCAACTGTATATATTTATTGAAAACAAATTTAATTGTTAATAATTAATTTCCTAGATTGGACCACAAAAGACTGCGTTCGACGTGTGTCAAGAACTGGCGGACAAAACTAATATGCCAGCTCATGAACTGTGCCTGGAAGAATATACTTTGTCTGGTGCACTGGAAAGACCACTGCATCACAGAGAGCGTGTCCTCGAAGCAGTGGCAAGGTGGGGATACTGGGATCCCGAGGATAGAAAGGACAACGTCCTCATACTTAAGAAAGATCGACTACACAAGGATATAGTGCCTTTGGTAAATATAATGGTGATGAATATGTTATTTATTTATTTTATATATCTTTATATATATTATGTATTATATTAACAAATAGTATTTATGGAGAATAATATTTGAAACAGTATTATTTTGTTTCGAGTAATATATTTGAAACTTTTCTACAATTTTATGTTATATTTTTTACCTATATTTATTTATTAATTTTATAGTATTTTTTTCTTTATTTTTAGATAAAACCATCGATGACAACGTCTGGTGAACTTAAATTTGCTGACACAAAATCGAAAAATTTTAAGAACTACCTCTTCGAATTTAGTCACGCGAAACTTTATTGTTACAAAGACAAAGGTTGCGCAAATGTATTATCTGAATGGAAAATAGAAGACATCATTTGGTATTTAGGTCATGAGCCAAAGCGAAATCCACAGACAGGGTAATGACAATATTTTATAGCACATAACTGACATATATTTTACAGAGTTTTATTTATATAATGTATATATACGTATTTTATTTCAGATGGTCCATCACATTCATAGCTAAAAATAAAAAACCAACAAGGTAAAAAAGTCAACAAATTAAATATACAAAGTTTTTATATTTATTAAAAGAATTATTATAATGTTAAAGAAAATATGGCCAACAAATTTATTATATAAATAAAGAATTATAATATTATGGAGCACTTTCAAAAATTTAATTTTAGGTGTAAAGAAAGTCCATTTTTTGGAAACACTTTAGCAGGATCATTGAAAGAAGAACAAATCAAATGGATAGCAGCTATGGTTTTCGGAGAATATCAACTAAATGTCCGACCTCCATCAGTCAATCTTATGGATCTATAAATGATTAACTTATTTTCTTAAACTGTGCTACTTAGTGCCTTCAAAATTCATGTATAAATTTCGTTTGTCATAAATTCAGTGCCCGTGCTTAGCTTAATGCAAAACACGATTTTGGATATTTTTAGATAATAATCTATGTATCTATATCATAATAAATAAACGAATATAGTAATGAAATATATTCCAGCATTCCGAAGATATAAATGTTCCGATCGGTGTTCAGTAAATTAAAATAACTTAAACTATTTTGTATATTTACACTAGACTTTATAAAACAGTTTTGTACGTATTGTATTTTATGCGAATATTGTCATGTAATATAACAGATTGATTATAAATGTATTTCACATTTCTATTTTTAAATAAATAAACGGAATGAAGCTGCATTCATGAAAAATTATAATAAGCAAAAACATATAAATACTTTTAAAAAAATTATATTATTAAATTTACTACAAAACAATCTTTCTTATGATTTTCAAACAGTTCAAGTATTACAATTAATTAATATCGTTCAAAAGTTCGATTCGATCAATCGACTTTCGAACATGCGCAGATCTGACCTAGTTTCTTTAAAAAAGAAATACAATGAAAACTGTCAGCCTGGAACATTGCTGTTGGTATTGAACGTTTACGAAGTTTGATGTTTTATTCAATTTAGGAACGTGAACACTGAGAAGTTACTTTCTATTTTAACCTTTTGAAATATTTCTATCATTCATTGTTCGCAAAAAGATATTGTCATATGTTATACGTTGTCAAAAACAATCACGTGTCTGTAATTAATTCTACTAGAATTAATTAATATATTAACATTTAAACACGATTAACCTTCCAACCTATTCAAGATATATTACCAATTTTATTCTTAGATATAAGTGTAAAGAAATAATAACCATTATGAGCAGCTTACATCTTGGACCTGGTAAGTGCATTATTTCATGCATTTTTAGAAACTTTATCTTACATTATATTTAATAAAAGATAAATAAAATTTTCAATAAAGTACATTATTATAGATTCCATTTTGAACACTTTCTTCGAAAATTCATAAATTTTCGTCGCAATGAAAAATTTTATTACATATGTTTCTAAAACAAATCAATATTAAGACCTTTTTTTTAAACAGTGACTTTTTACATTTCGTTTTATTTTACATTTTATTTAATAATGCACAGCTTTTATTATATTGCAAACGCTTGAGATCTTTTTATAGCTGGTTTTAATTTTTATAAAAATACACCAGAAATTTGAAATTATAGCTTAACTTTGTTTCCTAGATGATTACATTTAATATAATTTATAGATTCTCAAAAACCACCAGAAGTAAAAGGGCAAGTTCGTTTATATGGTATGAAATTTTGTCCTTTTACACATCGAATTCAATTAATACTTTCGTATAAAAATATTCCACATGATATCGTTAATATTAATATAAGGAATAAACCAAAATGGTATTTGGAGGTACATATATTTTTCATAATTTGTTATTTATTTAAAAACTGTAGTATTAATTTTCTGTCATTTATTATACATAACAATTTTTTTAGATTCATCCAGAAGGTAAAGTTCCAGCACTTGTTGATGCTGATGGTAAAGTAATTGTTGATTCAATAGTTATAGCCAATTATTTAAATGAAAAATATCCTGAACCACCTTTATATAATAAAGAAACAAAAGCTCGTGATTTAGAATTGTTAGATCATTATTCCAAGGTAATAAAGTTTACTGTATAAACACAAATGAATAAATATATATATATATATATATATATGCATTATTTTATATTTTGATAGATAATTATTTAGTATTTATAGAATGATGTTACCAAATTAATAGTAATTTAATTTTGCAATTATTTTTAGCTTTCCAGTATCTTCTCAAACTGTGTTCATGGTAATGATAACAGGCCAATCAATGAAATTATTGCTGAAATTTCATCTATTTTAGTAATATTTGAAGAAGAACTTAAAATTCGTGGGACAGTTTATTTTGGAGGTTTGTAAATTAATTTTAAATTACACATAATATAAAATAGGAAAGTACTTATTCCATGCTCCCATTGTTTTATTATAGGAGCACAACCTGGTATGTTAGATATATTGATGTGGCCATGGGTTGAACGACGAAAATCCCTATCTTTAATTTATGAAGAACCAATAAATTTTCATGATGGAAATTTCTCACATTTAGTAAGGTCAAACTCAAACATTTATAGTAAATAATTTTATTTATTAAAGTATCAATTGATTTTTCAATTTCTTTCAGATGAAATGGATGCAAGAAATGAAAGCACAATCATTTGTACAGAAAAATGAATGTTCGTATGAAAAGTTTGCTCAGTTAATTAAGAATTTAAAGACAGGAAATGTTGACTTTGATAAACTTTAAATTGTTTGATAGATATTATTATGATGTGAAATTACATTACTTTTGCTATAAATACTTTAGTCTTCATATATTATAAGCACTTACACACATATGTTGATACATAATAATTTAGGTTTTAAAGATAATTATATACAAGTTTAAAATATTATAGTTACTATTTAATGAAATTTATCATAATTAACCGTAAAATATATTGAGTAGTACATGCTTATAATTAGGAACAATTGCTATATAAATATGTATAAAACTCTGAACTTTGTAACTCATGCCTTCTACTATGACAATATACACTTACAAAAGTATTAGTACTGTCTTGTCAGATGTGCTGTGAAAAATATGTGATAAATATCGTAAATACACTGTTTAGACAAAGTAATTTGTCATTATTTTATGCTTATTTGTATTATTTCATTTTATAAAACAAAAATTAAGTTGTTTCTTTTTTAAAATGTTGCATATTTAGTTTTCATATGTAAAAAATACATTACAAAATATTTTATAATTCAAATAATAGTTTCAGCATATTTACAACACATTATCTCTGCAAAAAGATATGATAATGAGAGCATAAACAATGCTCTATTATTACAAATACAACGTATACAAAATTGAGATGCTCAATATTAACACGTATTCACTTCTGCATTACTAGTACTAGGAATGTCTCAAGAGGACTGAATTTCGTCTATATTTATATGAGCAATAAATCGTAATCTCATTTGTAATGCTGGCCTTAATCTTCGTATAACACATTCCACTTCATTCTTCATCATATCACCAACAAACATATACTTTATGTGATATCTAGTATACCTAACATTAAGGAAAATATAAGTGCTTTATTAATAGATTGTGCAAAACAATGAATAAATAATAGAAGGATACAGTAAATCACAAACTGGGTCCATGTATTTTAAATGAGTTTGAAGCCGATCAACTTGTTCAAGCATTTCATATAAGCAAACTGTTAGTTCTACAACACAATGTGGCCTTTCAGCATTAAATCTTGCTAAAGTAGGCCCAATTAAATGACACGCATATATTAACTGTTCTTCACTATTTACAACTGGCTGAAGTTTCTCTTTAATAAATCTAAATATAATTATATTTGATTAAATTATGATTAAATATTAATTGATTAGATATAACTGATTAAATATTATTTCCTAATTAGACTTACTGAGGCATAGTAGTTATTTGTCCAACACCAGCATGATGCCATACAGAATGCGCCAGTGCCAACATATAACTATATTTATTTTCCAATAAACTATTATGTGTGTTATTAAAATTAAACATTTGAAATGGAGTTAAATTACTATATTGCCAGTTAGCTAAACCTGGACTGCTAATAGTTTCTACTAATCGATCATGAAGTGCTGACCAATAACATTCCGGTAAAGCAGCCAATAACAAACCCACACAATTTATCCATAAATGAATTTCATCTGATGGTATCACTGTGTACCTAATAAACTCAAAATTAAAAAAAAAATTTTGGACATAAAATAATATTTTACGTATCTTACCCTTTTGCAACTACATCTAACAATGCGTTGGCGACTATGTTGGGAGCAACAGGGACAGCCATAAGTTCCACACATGTAACATATAATGCATGTGCAGCAGGATTAGGAAATTCATTAAATCTCCAATCAGTAGCAGGAAAATGAGCTGTGCCTGACATTGCTAGAAATTATAATTTTACAATGAGAAATTATAATTTGAAAAATATTAGTTATTGAAAATTACTTACTTTCTACAATTCTCCGTACCAAACGAATATAATAATCCAATTCAGGCATCCATGTAACAACGTCGTCAGTAGATCTAGTCATATACATTTGATATGCTTCTGAAAGTGCCCATCCCGGTGCTCTAATTTCTCTTAAAGAACCTAAAACAGCTGCCACTAGTCGCCGTTTCAAAGGCGGTCTATCTCTTAATTTACGTTCATAATAATGTAATGTGTTATAAAGATATGTGACGGGTCGATCTAAAAGAAATAGAATACAGTAGACTAATTTAAATATAAAAGTTACTACAAATAAAACATATGTACATACCATGAAATTTGTATAAACATCCCAAATGTTCTAGTAGTGTTTCTAAACTTTTTGATACAGCTGGAATTTCCAAATATCTATGTACAACAATATCGAAAACCGGTAAAAATCGTAAGCATACATTTCCAAAATAAACAGGTAAACTCTGATATTGACTAGGTCCTCCACTAGTTTGCTCCATAATACCTTCTGGAGCAAACTTCTCTGGAAACTTTCTATGGAATGCAAGATGTTTCTCATGCCAGTTTGATTGCTTCCAATGTTCTGGAGAATTTTCTTTCACAAACTCTTGAGTTCTATTTCTAAACTCAATGGCTTTTAATAATAATAATTGAATTATAAAGAAGCATACTTGCGCGTCACTACCTTCATGAGTTCTTAGTACCAGACAAAGAATCAATCTATCAATAGTTACAATATTATACTTCCAGATCATATCATTCACTGTATCTACACATTTATTCACATGTTGTCCACCTACACTATTAGCAAATTCAAACACGAGATAATCACAAAATTTTCGAAGATGAGCCGATAAAGCTCGAGCTCCAATCCTTTCTAAGATTTTATACGCAATCGGACTAATTCGATCAGTTTCAAAAATTATTTTCCACAAAAGACATAAAAACAGAGGTGGTGTACCAGGTACAGAAAAATGTGCTATTATGTCGTTTTCGTTGCTCATAGAAGCCCAATTTCGATATTCTTCTTCTACTGCTTTCTTAATTTGTTGTTTATTCTCTTTTGGTACACTGTTTTGTTGAAAAAATTCGCTCAACACTGGAGGAAAACATTGAAGAGTATGATTAGCCCACGAGTGCGGTGTATTTTGCATAATTGTGTTTAATAACTCTTTGCACCATGTACCACTATGACTGTCTGATCCTGTTCCTGTAACGTGCATAGAGCGTGCTAGCGTTAATACTAAAGCTCTATTTAATTCTTCGGATTCTGCAGATACAAGAGTTTTAGGTTCTGACAAAAATCGAGATAACTGTGGTTGCACTTCAGCAGATCCTAGTCCAGTGATTAAACGAAGGGCAGTACTTTCTACACATAAGTGCAGTTGTGTTTGATTGGTTTGTGGTACAGCTGCAAGACTATGTAAATGGGACAAAAGTTGTACCCTATAATGTGGTTGTATATGGTGCATCCTATAACTAAACATTTCCAAAAGAGTATATAATGTTCCCCATGCATGAGACTTGAAAACTGTTGGAAGTAACTGACTGATAAAACCTTTGATACCAAGACTTTCAATTTCAGTATATACCAGTAACCTACTATAAGTTTCAACCAGTGCTGGAGCTAATGCCGTATTGCTTTTAGATTGTGCCGATTTGATAACGTGGGTAACTATACTATGTATTAAACTCATTTTTGAGTGTACCGTTAACGAATCCAAAATTGACATTGATAATGGTGTAGTTGGTCCACTTGCGAGAGCTGCGTTATTTTGTAATGTCTGCATCGGTTGCTGTTGCTGACCTTTTTGAGGACCAAGTATAGTATCCACTAAAGCAGCCATAGGTCTACCAAAATATTCTTGATTTGTAGAATATGCATTACATAACAAAGCAATACGGTAATCTGAACCCATACAAAGCGAAGTATTAGGCATAACTAAATGTTGTAAAAATTCGTGATGAAGTTTTAAAGTGTGTGGTATTGGTCTGTGAATATTTGAATGTTCAGACTGAGCTTTCTTTAACAGATGTATCCATATACATGTAATAGCCATTTGATGAGTACATAACGCTTGAGTATAATCTGGAACTGGTAAAGGTTCCTTTTCTGGATAAAGGAGGTCGTATAATTTTAATACTGGCAGAAAATTCGATAATGGATTTCTCTGAATACTTCCAGAAATGAATTGCAATAAGACCCACATTAAGTGATCTCTTCCCTTTCTTAAATCTCTTCCTGCTAATTTATCATGTATTGCCATTACAATACTCGGAAAACAAGCGTACGAAAAAAGTACGAAATATATAAGCTGTGATGAAAGATGCAACCACACATAATGATTTGCGACAGTTCCATCAGTTCCTTCTGCTGGTAATGTTTCATTTTCTGCACGTTCCATTGCAAGTATTACAAGTTCTACTAATTGCTCTTCCAAAGCTATACATCGTTGCTTTTGCTATAATAGAAAAAATATACATTATTAATATCTATATTACTACTACTATTTTTTTGCAATATATACATAATATAAATATACCTGTTTTTGTAAACCAAGCATTGAACACACCATGTCCCTACTATAAGGCTGTTCTAATACATATCTAAGTAATCCAGTTTGGGGCTTAAGTAAATCCTCATCATAAGGCAAATTTCCTTTTAATGAAAATTTTAACGTTGTTGTATCAAGCACCCAAGGATTAATCAAATCTGCATATCCAGTATGTTCCACTACTGGCAACATTTTTGAGTGACCAACTATAGATACCATTTGTGCTGTATTACGAAAACTTTCAACAAAATTTGAAAGTAATTTTGCTAGTTTCTAAAGAATTCAATTAAATAAGATACCATTAAATTAATGAAATGTAACAAGTTCCATCTTGGAAATAACATACCCAATGTGGCCAATTTTTACCGTCAGGATAAGCCTTTTGAATTTCAGTCACAATAAAATAACCTGGCAATAAACAAGCATTTCTATCAAAAATATATTCAATTACGCTTTCTAAAGCTTTCAATTGCGGTTGAATAGATGCATCTAATCTTGATGGAATTGTTTGTGCTTTTTCTTTACATCCCTGTAAAATTATAATTAACATTTATTTATCTACTCTTGTACGAGTTTAAAGTTAGTTTTGCTGATACTTACTTTCATTATTTCTCTTACACCTTTATAATCAACTCCTCCAATAATATGACGAATAAGAACAAAACATTCAACCCAAAAATCTTCTAATTGATATTGGAGTTTATCACAGTTTAATATACATTCACACACAAGTCTGAAATTATTCATGTTTTATAAATAAAATTTAATGTATCATACTTTATTTTAAAATTAATGTACCTTGCCGGTAAAACATTAGATGTAACTAAATTTTCAAGTAGTGATAATAATAATTGTAATCTCCTATGATTAGTCATTGCTGCTGCCATAGATAAAAATTGTCTTACTGCACTTTCTTGCTGTTCTTTGGATAAATTTGACATAGCAGATGACAATTCTGTTTGCCATGCTGCTATTTTTTTACTTTCACTATTTGGATGATGTACCAAAACACAACTGAAAGCTTCTTCTATAGCCTCTACTTTCTGTAATAGTTTCATGAAATGATATGAATAAAATAATGCTATTATTAAAATAAAAATATAATTCCAGATGATAATAGTATTGAAGAAATTAATAATAAAACTGTTATTTTCATAATCCCAGTTCTATCATATTCATAATAAAGAAATATTATTTTTAACAAAGGACTATTGAGAAACGAGTATTTAAATATTTATATTAAACAAATTTTTCTTTAATTTAATAAAATTATACATGTCCTAAAAATTTATGATCTTAACCTTAATGTTTACTACCACATTGTAAAATAACGTTTATAAGTAATGAAACAAGCAAATTAAGTAATAATACAAAATATAAGTATCGAATAATATTCATATAATCTATACTTACTAAAATATCATTTACAATATTCGTGATTTGTATTTCACTGGTCATTTTTTTGGTTAAACGCTTTCCTGTTCGAGTAAAACAAGAGTCATAAATTAATGTATAACAATTAAAGTTTTATTCAGCTTTTTCATAATTTTTTTCAATATTCACAATTGATATATAACAAAATCGATTCGTAAACACAATTCATATTCTGTTTACGTTTGCATAATCAACATTTGCATTTGAATGAAAAAATATGATCATTAGTATGCAATACGTAAGATGTCGCTGTAATAGAAGTTATGTCAAATATAAATCGAAAGATGACGCTGTTAGTAATTTACAGCGAACATTTCGTTCAAATCTTTCATAAGACAGTGTTTATGAAAAACTTGCTCAAAGAATATAAGCAATAGCTAAAAACCGTTTTATAAATTCCGAATGTTAATGTTACGAATATTTACTTTATTTGGAACAAACTTAATTATTAACGAAAAGAAAAAAATCGTATTTCTTACTGCGGTAATTATATAACCTACATAAAATTGGAAGATTGGAGAAAAATATGTTCACAGTAAAGAATAATGTGAAATCAACGTTACTTTGTGGGCCTGCAGAGTTAAGTAAATCTTTTATGTTCGAGGTAAATAAATCAAAATCTACAAACATCATAATTTTTTCTACGCATTATTACTTAAGTCGTAGTTTAGTAATTTAAAATAAATCATTTCTAACATAAAGTATTTGTAAATATAAATTAATATTGCACAAAGTATTTGTAAAGAATCTTGAGCAATCAACAATAATTAACACCTTTTTCTATATAAATCGTCAGTTGTAAAATTAAAATTCAAATTGATTAGAAAAGTAAGTAGAACATGTTTTAATACAACAGATATTTAAAAATGTAAACAAATATTATATAAATATTCATAAATTATAATACATTTCAAATATCTGTGTCGATATTTTATCAATATATATAATAAATGAACATATTAAAATATAGAAACGCGGTAACATCAACTCGTTCTGTTTCCAAATCTTTTACGTATTATAAATATTTCATTAAATGTGGTACCGTGCTTGTGTGGATATGTTTTGTTAGAAATGGTACCGACATTTTCGGAATTGGATTTTCCTTCGTAGGCAGCAATTTACTGGGCCGAAGAAGGACGCCGTGTCGTTTACATTACACCAGCACCGTTGGAGAGACTGCCGGCAGCCTGTCACGATAGAAGTAATCCAGCACCCGCGGCTTTCAAGCTGATGAGATTTATGTAAGCGGAACACTTTTCTTGCGGCGCTTCTGCACGTGCATCGGCCTTCGAGATTTGTTTCTGAAAAGAGCGCCAGATTTATATCCATTTAACTAAACTAAATCGCTTATTTTGAAATCGCCCGTTTCACTCAAGATTCAAATCCCGAATATCGGTTAATATATTGCGTACTTTGTTTTAAGACGAAGAAGAGTTTGATATTCTTCTAATTTTGAAAAGAAAATCGGTAGTATTATTTTTTTTTTCTTTGAGATCTATCAATAATTTAAAGTCATTTACATATTTAATATTTTATAGGTATTAATTGATCAAATTATTGTGAAACGCCATAATGTTGCGCCATAGAATAATAATATGTAGAACGGTTTTGAATTCAAGAAGTTTGTTTAACGTACCGGAAGCGATCGATCAAGGAACATTAGTTACTTTACACGTCACACGCGACAGGTATTGACATTCTACGTGCATAAACATATGCGTTGTTTACAAGCGATCGTATTTTCAGAAGAGGTTGTGTTAAACGCACATAGATCACGCAAAGAATGTTACTTGACTGTAGTGAACTGCAATGAAGTACGCAGTATATTACAGCACAAAGAACTTTGATTCATCGTTGAATAAATCTTGAATAAATTTACTCAAGATTATCGTTACAATTTACAAATACAAAGTAACACGAAAATAACAAAACAAATTGAAATCTTCAGAAATAATTAAGAAAGAATGTGTTCACGTACGTACACATAAGTAATTGCTTTTACACTTTATTATTTAACGAATATTTAAAAAAGCTTTATGAACTAATAAATTCATATTACATATAAGCAGCCTATAATATAGAAAGTTACGTTTCAAAAATAATTACGCAGTATGAACAGATACTCCATTCTTTATCAGTCTTTTTTCCAATTATGTAATTGAAGTGATTCCCTTTTACAAATTAAGCAACTTATTTAAACATAATAAATTAAAATATATATTAAAAAATAATGTAATAAGAAATTTTTAAAAAGGAAATATCTTTCTTATTTTTTAATTATGTTTCAGTTAATCATATCAAATAATATACAAAATTACGGACAAAAAGTTATTGATGTTTCTATGTACAATATCATCCTCATTTTTTACAAATTAAGCTAATACTTTGTAGATAAAACGAGTCAGTTTGGAAAGGTTTATTCTTTTGGCTAGAATACTGGGTAAACAACGAAGTTCGAAATTTTTATACGCGATTCATCGTGGCACCAGAAGCAAAAGTAAAATAAACGATCAAATGCGGGTCGTCGCAAATCAGTTGCTTCCTTCTTCTACGGTTTATTTTTCAAAGCTGAGATTTCGTCTGTCCACGCTTGAAGATTCGTTGAACGTGGCTTCTGGATAAAGAAAATTCCTCTTTCTGAATGTGCCTGCCTACAAGGCTTTGGTTTTTTCCCATACTTTGTAATTTATTTTATACTGAAGACAATGAGATATTAATCAGTTGTAAAATGCATATGTATATTGACATGACAAGCCGACATTTTTAATTCATAGGTAATATAATAAGAAGATACATGTGTCATGTATAATGCTTAATTGCGAAATGACTAGTAATTTAAATTTTTTAAATTGAAAAAGATACGATTAGTCATGAATTCTTTTTTAATACATTTTTTATTTGTTTATATAGATTTACAAAGATTGTGTGATTATACGTTACATTTATTAGTACAATAATGCTTTCACTTTTCGAAACGAAGTTTATTGATTTTGAAACAGGTTTATATAGAGGCAATAAATGAAACACTATTTTACGTTTATTATCGCATCAATTTACTTAGGTATATTGCTCGTGGGATCTCTTTGTCGTTAGTTTATTTTATGGTTACCAATCATTTTCGATTCTCCAATAAATTTGGTAAATGTTTTATCAGACTTGCGTTTAGATGGTTTTGGTATCCAGTCGAATGCTTCAAATATTTTTTTTCGATAATTAATTATTATATTACAAGATACAAAGTATCATTTCTTCAGGGCACTGTAATATAATAATATAATAATATTATAATAATTTATAAAATGTAATTGACTTAAAATACGGAGTAAAATTCAGGGATTAATTTCCTTTACTTAAATTCATAGTAACAGTAAAATGTAATAGCACAGTTATATAATACCGTATAATATATAATATAACCATAAAATATAATTGATATAATTTCATAAAATAAATCGATAAATCTCCATTATCTAAATCCATACAGAGTAAACCTACATGCTTAACATTTTGCAGTGCTTGAACAAACTGCGAGTCACCATGTAATAAGGTTGCATTATATATGTTCAACGGTGAATTCGCTAGATTATGAAATCGAACGCAAAACGATCATGAGGAAATCAATACTTTAGGTACTTGAAGAACTACGAGGCACTCGCACAGCGGCTCGTTGAACTACACACCTTCGCCAGTTTACCTTCTGTACTCCTGATTGATGACTTCGACACCTACGTCACTGGTTACAAAGAAAGCGAGATGACGCAAGATATACACATCGCCAAAACATGTTCTCTGATTCTCGATACCATGAATTCGTGTGCGCGAATTCTGAAGTATAACGTAAGTAGCGACATGATTCGAATAAATGTATTCTTGGAAAAAAGCAAATATATTGGAAAAACAGGAGAATCGTTAAAAAAAAAAATTTTTTTTGTGTTCACTTCAGGTATATGTATGCGCCTGGTCCTCGTCTGGGATGAACAATATTTGCACATACACGATATATTTTGTGAATATTTGGAACGTAATAAATGAAAAGGAGAGTAATACGATATTGTTGCAAAAGTACTCACAAGAGACTCCTACCGAACAGTGTCCGTCCTATAGATACTGCAAACTTGAAGATGGAACGAGGGTATTGAAGCAAGTTCTATACGAATCTATGCAGGATTGATCCTATAAATTTGTCCTTTAATCACAGTGAATTATTTCAAAATGTATATTTCAAATGCAAATGAAGGTGATACAATAGAAGAAATAATATTACAATAGAACTTTGATTATGGTATGTTAAGAAACACGTGTACTTCTATATTACTTGATTTGTATTATGATTTGTTATGTTTCATATTTCATTTACATTTCTTTTTATACGAAGAGTTTGTGCAATGAGGGACTAATATAGTATTATTGATTTATAGGAATTGTTTAATTAATTCAAATAATCAATGTTTTATTGTAATATAATTTCAAATTTTATATATATATATATTATTTGTTATATATTTAATAGTATTATAGAATATAATGCTAGAAGGATACTTCGATAATATTATATCAGATCTATAAATTAAATGTTGCAACAAGGCAATAAAGTCGGTAGTTAAATTCCTTGGAACGTATATACCAATCTTCGTTCATGCGACACTCTAAAAATCTA